AGTCATTCATGTTGTTACATGTATCAATAGTTCACTTCCTTCTATTGCTGAAAGTATTCCATTGTATCAATGTACCACAATTTGTTTATCCATTCTCCAACTGAGACACATTTGGATGATTTATAATTTTGGCAATCATGAATAATGCTGCTTTGAACATGTGCATACAATCTTTATATGGACATACATTTTCATTTTTGCTCTTAAGTAAATTCCTAGGAGCAGAACTGCTGCATCATATGGTAGGTGTATGTTTAACTTTGTGTGTGCGTATGTTAAACTTTTTAAGAAACTGCCAAAATGTAGCCTAAAACGACTACACCATTTTACATTACAAATGTTACAGTATGGCACCTTTAAGGTGCCAAACGTCACTAGAGATAGAGCAACTCTAGGCCCCAAAGAAGGCGCATGTCCCAAAGTCAGGGGACAGAGGCAGAGGCATTTCATACCGAAAAAAAGATTCATAAAAAAAGAAGTGGCATTGTACCCTGGTACAGTCATTGTAGCTTATGAGTGACTTGTAGGTGTGCTGCCTTAAATCACATCAGGAAAACATCTATTTAAAAACAACCAATATAATATAGACTCATATTTGGGAAGGCACACGCAAGGAAAAAAAAAATCTTTAAAAGGCAGCAATAAAGCTGATGCAAGCAATCACAACAGGAGCTCACCAGAGCATTATTTCCTAGTCAGGCACTATGCTAAGCTTTATAAGATTTATATATGGCCACTTGAGTGATCACTATCTCCATTTTCCAGGGAAGAAACCAGAGGCAGAAGAGTGAAGAATGTGGCCCTAAGGTCATATGGCTTGTAAGGCACAGAAGCAGAACTGCTTTTCGTGGCTACGCTAATTTACTGCTTCATCCTCAGGTTCTGCATGCCTTCCAGCCTGCTTGGAGGATGTCTTCTTGAAGCTGAATGATCCACCCCTTCAGCAATACTTCTCCCTGTATCCAATTTCATACTCATCAAGGAACTTTCTGATATTAAACTGGTTTTCCAAGCCCAATCTCTACTCGGAAAAAGAAGAGCTGACCAGTCAAGAAACATAAAGTAGATACACTTGGCAGTGATTGTCTCTTAGAGTAAATTACCAGACCAGGCATTTTGGTTTTGAACACTAATTTGACCATAAATTTGGTTCACCTGACTAATCATGGCGGTACCAATATCCTTTTCAGAGGATCATCATAAAAGAGGAAAAATCATCAAAATCAGGTATCAATCCTATACAAGCCCACAACTGCTAAGCTCAACTCCATACCTAAGAGTTTAACAAAACAAAACCAAAACCAAAAGGTACCGCTGGTGTTAGAAAAAATCTGATAGAACTACTACATATATAGGTGGAAGCATTTTCAGTAGCCTCCTTCCAGCTCCAGCAGGAAAAATAAAAATACATTATGCAAACTTCTAGTGTTTTTGATGTAAATGTGAAGAGATGAAAGGACAGAATTATTACAAAGTTAAGAAAAAATATATTACCAGTTTAAATGGAAGGGACATACTGCTTCAGAACTAATTTTATTTTGGAGATACCAGACAAGTGGCAGGTCTCACTGATAGATCAGAATTTCTTCCCCCAATCTTCCCTTCCATACTCCATAATGCTTAAGGACCTAATATTTTGGGGGAAAGCCAAAATTTAGATGTGTCTCTTAGTTTCCTCCCCAAAGGCGGGCCTGTTAATTCTTACTAGATTCATGGTCTTGAATAGGAAAAATCAGCAGATTCTTTGGTTTCACACAAATCTTGCTAGTTCTTCCATACCCTACATGTCTATAGGGTTACTGTTTTCTAAAGTTAGTGTCCTATCCTCCACTCCTACTTTCTGTCCTCTTGATGACATCAGTGGCAGTGATTCTCAGAGGAAAGTATAACTGGAAGACATGCTCTAAGAACACCAAAACATGGGAAATTGGCCCATTCAAAGCTGGGAAGTAGTACTGAGAAGTGAGAATTCTCACCATGGCACCTCTGTCATTCCCCTCAAGTCAGGAGAGGTTAGAACATGGTGTCTTCGGAAGAGATTTTGGTTTGGTAAGGTCAAGGAAATAAAATAAGGATGGAAGTTTTTTGAAGACACAATGAATGGCAGCATTATGTACAGAATTAGGAAGCATAGATTTTGTAAAGCAAAAAAAGGGGAAAAAATAAAGTAAAAAAGGGTAACAAAGAAGGAACTATAACTGACATTTTTTTTTTAATTTAAGCTTGATTCAATTCTCTTTAATTTTCTTAGCCAGTCCCTTCTTGTCTGAAAATACAATTCAACCCAGTCCCTTTCAATAAGCACCAATAAAGTTTCAGTGATTTCAATTATGTCTATATGAACGCTGAGGGGAAGGAAGGACAGACAAGTCACAGGACAATAACTGTTGGGCCGACAAATGGTAGATATAAAAGGAAAGACAATACATAGATGTGCTTGTGCATGTGTCACACGTGTAAGTCACTGGATGAGTTAGGCTCAACCACACAAAAGGGAAGAAAAGCTTTATCACAGCAAGTCTGTCAAAATCTGTAGGTCTCACAAGTATCTAGCAAGGAGGATATTTTGTTTATTCTGATCATTTCAAGTTGGAGTCAACTTTGAAAGAGAGCAAATGTCAAATTCTGGTTGTTTTTATGGTTGACTTTGAGGAGCCTACAGGGCAGCACCCAGAGTCATTTGAAGATAGATATACTCTCCTATTTGCCGTAATGTAGTAAATATGCGTAACTCATCAACATTTGATATAGATATTGGTACTTTAAGAAAATATTACATGGGGCGCCTAGCTGGCTTAGTCGATAGGGCATGTGACTCTTGATCTCAGGATCGTGAGTCCAAGCCCCACACTGGGTGGGCGTAGAGCTTACTTAAAAAAATAGTAAGAGTAGATGGGGCGCCTGGGTGGCTCAGTCCTTAAGCGTCTGCCTTCAGCTCAGGTCATGATCCCAGGGTCCTGGGATCGAGCCCTGTGTCAGGCTCCCTGCTCTGCGGGAAGCCTGCTTCTCCCTCTCCCACTCCCCCTACCTGTGTTCCCTCTCTCTGTCAAAAAGTAAATAAAATCTTTAAAAAAATAATAATAAAAGTAGAAAGTAAAAATAAGAAAATAAAAATATATTACAGACTCACAGAATCTTCATTCTGAAAACAATCATTAAAGATGACCTAATTCAGTCCCCTTCTCTTACAGATAAGGAAATCTAGAAGCTAAAAGGGGATTTAAGCATCATGCACAAACTGGAAAGAACATAAACAAAATCTTATTTAAAAGCAGAGAATTAAAGAGAATCAAATCAAAGAAAATCAAAACCTTTTAGAAAGAAAAGTGTCTTTTAGCTTCATTTTATACACAGAACAATGGTAAATTATATCCTCTCCCTCTTGCGAAAGAGGACTCATACCACAGCAAATCAGGTCTTTTCTAAAATACACACTCATCCTTTCAGGCAGACATTCTACCATACTGTTTTTTCCATTTACATTCAACTCTAGATCCCATCACCTCACTGAAGTGTTTCCACGAAGTTTCACAAAATTGCTGAGGCTCAGCAAGTTAAGCATGTTTATTAATCCTCACCCCAATGTGCCTGATTCTAGGGAAAAAAAATAGAGGTACCATAATCTAATGGTAAAGTGACCTTTCTTTTAGAACTTAGAAAATAGAGGTGGATAGTCTGGAATTTTTACAGTTTCCAAGACCCTCCAAAAGAGGGAATACTAGCTTTTTAGAACAAAATACACATGCAGTGGATTAGGACCTGCATCATCAAATTCTGCAAGTGGTTCTCAGCAGTGGCCACTGCGAGGCAGGCTACATGTCAGAACCAAAAGAAATGTGGAATACATATTTTAGAGATAACTTAGGTAAAATCTGCCCTAAGGAACTCCAAAGGTAGGAAGGAAAGGACTAATATTGTACACAGCCCTAGATTTACCCAGTATGTCTCCCATGTGTATCCACAGTCAGTCTGTATATCTGGGAGGATGACAGGGAGCAATTTGTTGTCACTCATTTAACAGAGGAAAAAAACCTAAGTCCTGAGAGATTCAATGGCTTTTATGGTTCTTCTGACAACTGACAATTTCTATTTAGAGACTGTTTTGCAAAGCTATTTGGTCCACAGACACTAGGAAGAAGAACTGATGCCAGCCAGACATTTCTTCCAGTATTAACTTATACAACGACTTTCTGGTTAATTAGGTTTTAATGCTCCAGAACTCAATCCAACAATTGCACTGACAAAACCATTTCTAACCTGCAAAGCTGCTGACCACCTATACCACACAAATTCCACTAATGGGAGACCCCTGATGTCCAGTTAGAAGCACCTATTGGCTATCTACCAAAATGAGAAAAGTCTGAGTTATATATAAATAAATTCATCTATTCATTCACATTCTCTACCTTACTCCCTCTCTCCCTTCACCTGGCTCCTTTCTTCCTCTCCTCCTTCCTTCCCCCACCCCAAAGGTATGCAGCAGGGGTCTGCAAACTTCTCTGTAAAGGGCCAGACGGTAAATAGTTCAGGCTTTTTGGGCTCTGCCACTGTGGCACAAAAATAGCTGGCTTTGTGGCACAAAAAATAAATGAATGAGCTTAGCTTTGTTTCAGTAAAACTGTAAAACCAGCCAATGGGCCAGATTTGGCTCAAAGGGCTGTAGTTTGTCAACCCCTAGTATAGAGTAGCAGCTCTCAACTTTTAGCCTGCATTAGAATCACCTATAGAATTTGTTAATACCCAGATTTCTCAGCCCCATCATTAAAGTTTCTGATGCAGCAGGTCTGTAGTGGGGCCTGAGATTTTGCATTTTTACTAAGTTTCCAAATGATGCTAACGCTGCTGGTCCAGGGACCCCACTTAGAGAACCACAGGGATAGAATAATGGTCTATCCCGCACTAAGTGGAAGGTTGAAATGTAATGCACAATTAAGAAAGTGAAAATTACATGCTGTAACCTTGACTGCTAATTTTATAGAATATTTCATATGAAGACTTACTGTTAAGTGCCATAATATTATCTGTTCCTGGATGATGGAAATTTATTCCCATGCGTCCTAAAAAATAAAATAATTTTATTTTAAGCACAAAGAAAAGAATGCTTAATTTCAAATACATTGTAAAAGATAAACATTATAAAAAGCTAAAACAGATTAATCTACAACAATACTATAATCTATAACAAGGCCATAGCAGTTACAACAGTTTTTAAATCAAGTCATAAAACATACAAATGAAAAAAAATCTTAAAAACAAAGCCAAAATCTCAATAACAAATAAATAAAACAAAATGAAAAAGAAGCTTCCCTTACAATATACTGAAATTTTAAAGCATCTCTCGCATTCCGATTTAAACATGCTAATTGGATTACGCATTTTATTTAAACAACCATTCACACTGCCCTTCAAATTCAAGCAGCAAAATAATGAATTCAAAGAAGTATATAAACTTGAAGCTTAGAGGAAATAAAAGATAAACGTTTCACAGTGGCTCAAAAATGCAACATAATTATCAGAATGGCAACCAGAAGAAAGATGGTAACATTTATACACTAGGTATAGTGGGGAACAACGACTGGCCTAAAAATCTAGAGTTCTTATGCTTTCCCTACCACTAACTAGTTTTATGACCTTGGGCATAATGCTTATCTCCAGATCTTCATTCTTATAGTAAGGTTTCAAACGTCTGCCCACACTGACTGGCTGCCTGTTTTTGTACACCTCTGAGCTAAGGATCATTTTTACATTTTTAAAGGGTTGTAAAAATAAAAACTAAAAAACAAAGAATAATATGTGACAGAGACCGCAGGCCTAAAATATTTTCTCTCTGGCCCTTTACAGACAAAAGTTTGCCAACCTCTGGTCTATAAGATGGTAAGTCTGAAACAGATGTTTTAACGAATATCCTCCAGGGTTAAGAGTGCAAGATGCACACAGTTGGTATGTTTTTCATGAATTATTTGGGAAAAGGAAGTGGATATATTAAAAGAATAATGAAAGAGAGAGCCTTATATGGAAAAAAATGTATTTAAGTTTTCTTGACCAAGCTCTTCAACAAAATAATTGTTGATACAGTGCTTTTTGTATAAAGCTAATACACATATGACCTTGGTTCTGCAAAGGTCTTCACGTCCAATAAGATCAAAGGTTATCATGAAATTCTCAGAAAAATGTCAATTTTATGTCATTACTACTGTTTAAATACATGTCAACAGTATGGGGGGGGGGTGATACAGAGAATGCTGGAGATATGGAAGTGATTGACTTTTACGACAAATACAGTGTTATAAATAATTGCAAAAGGTCAGTCATCATTTGGTATTAATCTCTGTTGTGGGGTCCTGGAGGCAAACAGCATTATGGAGCTCTTCTGGCCCCAAAGAGAAGAATCACAGTGGCCAAAACAGAGCATTTGCTTCAAATAAAAAGGGGGAATAATGAACTCTCAGCCAAATCAATTTTTTGCCTCGACAAGGCCATCCTAATCTCTTAAAAACCCTCAGGTCACAGTAATTATTGAAAGGTCATTTCACATTAAGGGATAAGGAAAAAAAAACTCTCATAAGTGTAATGTTACTTGTACTGTTGGGTGCGTGTGTGTGTATGTGTGTATATGAGAGACAGAGAGAGTAATTAAGAATGGAAAAATCATCAACAATTGATGGATTCTAAGGAGATAATTCTAATTTTACGATGAAGCACTATAGGACTGTCAATAAAAATTATTTTTAGTTTTTATTATTTTAAACTTATTAGGAGAAAGATATTACATACATTTATCTCTAATTTTATGGAAACTATTTTGCTAGCATTTATATTACAGTAAAATTATTTTTTAGAATATATTTAAAATCATCCTATTAGTAAAGAACCATTTTTTAAATAATAAAATTGCCTGTTTTATTTTTTATTGATTTCATAGATCTTTTTATATTTACTAGAAGCTAATTGTGAGGAGTTTCAGAAACTACCCATTGTTTAAAGACACATTTAACAGTATCTATATATGTAATTACTCTGTGTCTTATGTTTTTCCAGCTCCTAAGTCATTTTAGAGTCTCTAAAGATTATGGTCTACCCCATATGCAACGAGTGCTACCTCCTACCACAACCTTGATCAAAACCTATAATAGGAAAATTTGTCCTGAGAATAAGACTTATGGCTCAGTAGGGAGAATTTACATTGTGGTTTTTAGTTAGCTGTATGAATATTCTATTATTTTCAGATAATCAAGACCTTATTTTGGATTCATTACCACCAAATAATAACATCCATAAGAACTAGATGTGACTTACTCATTGTATTCTGAGATATCCAAATTTAACAGTAAATAGACAGTCACTGGAAAGGATGCCTAAAAACCCAACAAGAGTTCAAAATCACTGTCCAGCAGAACCTAAGGAAATGGCATATAGAGATGGTCTCTTCAATCTCTGACCAAGGAATATTCAGACGTGGGTATGGTTTCTAAAAAGCCAGGAGTGTCCCCTAAAATAATAAAGGGTTACTAAGAAAACTAAACAAGCCTTGGGGCACCTGGGTGGCTCAGTGGGTTGGGCATCCGACTCTTGATTTTGGCTCAGGTCATGATCTCAGGGTTGTGAGATTGAGGCCCACATCTGGCATCTGGCTCCAGGCTCAGCATGGAGCCTGCTTGGGATTCTCTCTCTCCTTCTCCCTCTGCCCTTCCCGCCCCTCTAAAACAAAAACAAAAACCAAGCAAGCCCAAATTTAGCTGATCTTCATTAAACTTCTTTTATTTACTGTGCTACAATCGTTTATGGTAAAGAATTATGTGGTTTTAAAATCGCTACATCAAATAATAGTTTTTATATATTTCTGGAACCACTGCTGTTCCCACACTTCAAGGGTACCCCTCTCTGCAGTCCTCCAGAAGCTGGGTCCTTTTGGGGCTCTTTCCAGGTCTTAGGAGTTTTCAGCTTGAAAAGATGAAACTGAAAGGAAGCTCAGTAGCTTTCTGATTATCGTCTCCTAGCCCACACTGATGACTTCCAATTCAATCTTTCTAAAGATGCAGCAAAAAAAAAAAAAAAAGAGCCTTAGGCAACGTTTTGTAGATGAAGGCATCAGGATTTGCTGAAAAGCAGAAAACTTTTTGCCTTTCCTGGTATCCTCCCTGATTCTGTTAGTGTTTCTGACTTCAGTGGCTATCTGGATCAACATCATCCACAAAAGATTTTATAAGAAACTCTGTGTCATGCCAGACCCATCAGAACCAATTATTTAAATACAATGTTTCCCAACTAAATGCAAATTCTTTCTAGTAAAACCACACTTATGGCTTCTTTAAGCTACTTTCTTTACCTCTTCAAAAATTAATGTTTAGATTACAAAATGCAATATATTTTCATCAGAGAAAGATTAGATGATACAAAAAAATGCAAAAAATAAGATCACCAATTAAAGACAAGCTCTGTTAACATTTTGATTTATAGTCTTCCAGTTTAAGTAGTGCTTATGTGTAAAGATTCTTTTCTAAAAGTAGAATTATATTTTTTCTTAATATATTTTGCATCTTAAATTTTATAGTGATTATGAGATTTTGAAGGAGAAAATATATAACAGCAAAAGAAAAACGGATTCCAAATTCAGATGAGGCCATTTCTTTTTTCTTCCTTTTGTCCAACAAATACTGCTGCTGCTTAATCAGCTGTGAAAATAGAATCAAGTGTGTGACATCTGGTGATTTTTGTTAATGCAGTCTGGTGCTGCCAGCGTGACATTTTGTCACCTGTCCATGGTCTGCTATTTTTAAATTGTTCTTGTCAGCCAGCTATCTTTTAAGTGTGGTATAAAATATAAGGTTTCGAAAACTGAAAGGCATACTTGGTTTTACAGAGTTAAATGATGCTGTGGAAATCTGAGACTGTCCCACTTTCCCCACTGCACAGGGCCTGATAAATGGGGTGAGGGGATGGAGGGAGAGGCTGGAAAATAGGGTTATGTATGTTTATTCAGACTGTGAAAATCACAGTCTCATAAGCTCAAGTCACATTCATATTTAAGAGGCTAGTTATAAAAAAAAAAAAATGACCTCTACTGTTATTCAAAGTTTCAGAGTCCAACCAACCTATATTTTTATATGTCCAAAATAAAAACTGGAAATTTTATGAATTCATAATTATGAAAGTCACCTCTTCACTTCTGCAATATGTTACGAGATGGGGAACAACTGCTGTATCTTCCTCTAATCATCCCTATTTGCTCTAAAAAAGTGAAGTCCTTCAGAGACCTTCACGTAATAGAATGTAAGTGCTGTATTCTAGAAAAGGTTATAAGAAAAATGCATATTCTGCTGGGTTGTATTTTCCACCAATTTTCTCTATAAAATCGAAGATACATTCCTTCAGAAAAGGTATCCACAAGATGAAATATTGTATTATGTAAGAATACAGTAAAATGGTGTTTTAAAGTCCTTTTAAGGAAAAATGATAAAATTTTGGCACTAAAGTATTCTAAATATGTTCCAAAGAACCAAGAAGCAAAAGCTATGAGCTTAGACCTGAGGTCAAATTCCAGTTTCTTTTCATACCAGTAGTGGATAATTTTTGGCATGCTATCAATCCTTTGTTCCTATGTTTCCTCATTTCAGGCTATACTCTAAAATAGTTAAATCATTTGTTTAAAACTCTCAGATAGGGGCACCTGGGTGGCTCAGTGGGTTAAGCATCCAACTCTTGATTTTGGCTCTGGTCATGATCTCAGGGTCCTGGGATGGCAGGTGTGTCGGGCTCCGCACTCAGCAGGGGCTCTGCTTGAGGATTCTCTCTCCCTCTCCCTCTGCCCCTCCCCCTGCTCACGCTCTCTCTAAAATGAATAAATAAATCTTAAAATAAATAAATAAATAAAACTCTCAGGTGATTACACTGCTATATAGAAAGGACCACTGGGTAAATTAATGGGAGATATTTATTTTAAAAAAAAATCACTCAACTTGTATTTACTGTCCTCCTCTTGTATAGAAACAGAACAATCACTTCTTGCTAACTCAGAACCTGTGCCCCAAACAATTTGTGGACTCTGCTAACTTGTATA